ACAAGAGTTTCTTGTTCATCCAAAAATAAAAATAAATAAAAATGTATTGATGCAGCATAGAGGGACAGGTAAGGTACAAAGCAAATACAGCAACATGTTAATTGTGAAATCCAGATAATGCGTATGTGGTATGGGCCTTTCAACTTTTCTGTATATTTCAACATTTTTCACAATAAAATGTTAAGAGAAAAGTTTATTTCTCACGTCCAGCAATGGGTAGCTAGTGTTCCTCTCCATGTCTTCTCATTCCAGGACTCAGGATGATGGATCATCTTGCAAGTGGCTGGTGGCCATGGCAAAGGGAAAGAGCTCTGCTGGGTATTGCACAGAGTGTGGGATGTTTCAGCCTGGAAGTGACATATGTCAGTCACTTCTGCTCACACCCTATTGGCCAGAGCTACTCACACATGGCCTCCCCGCCCCCCAGGATATAGAGGTCAAATCGTATCATGTGCTCAGCTGGGGAAGGACCGGCAACACTGGGTGAGCAGCACAAGTGATTGCCCTGATGAAAATAAACAACTTCATAAACTCCTTCAAAGAACAACATATCTGAGTACCATCATCATTAATAATACTAACAAGACAAATTCATGGCAAGCAACGTCAGTAACAGAATCCAGAAACTTTTTCTTTCTCATCTACTTTCCTGCGTTTAGTCTCCTTGAAAGGGAGCAGGAGAGAACTTACCCGCTAAAGGCTAATATATTCCAAACTTCTCGCTGGCTGGCCAAAAAGCCAGCCAGCCAGCCAGCCAGCCAGCTAGCCAGCTCTTTCTAGAATCTCATCACCTTTTTATTGAGTCAGCTCATTTTCACTGAGTCAGTAAGAAGATGTGGAAGCCGTCCAGAGAACTTAAGAAAAGCAGAAGTTAGATAGAGGATGGCGAAGCTTTTCAGAAATGGGGTAATGAAATAAAACATTTGAATAAACAGTATTTCAAAATTATCCTTGACTCAACATTTCAGAAGAGTCAGGAAAGACATCACAGCTGAGGTGACATTTAAGCTGGCACTTGAAGGCGTTTGCTAGGTAGAAAATGGAGTAGGGCATTCCAAGCAGAGGGAACAGGCTGTGCAGTGGCAAGGAAACGGCTCAGGCTTGGTATCTCTGCAGGAGAATAAGAAATTCACTGTGGCCAGAGACTAGAATGCCTGTTAAAGTACCAGGATAGGACCACAAATATTATTGTATTTTTCATTTGTTAGCAAGTGGAGAATGGAATACCCTACTTGTTAAGGAAAAATTTTAATTAGTCTTATCTAGTGCTCTAACAGTAGTCAATATGGCTTCAAAGAGGAAAGATTGCAAGTAATTTGCTATATATAGTACTATAAGCAAATGAGTCTCTAGAAATGGAACACTTCTGTTTATTGGCAACAATTTTCAAGTCACATATATGTTTTTAATATGTTCACAGTAATTTTCTTTGGGAAAAGCAAGTGATCCATGAGGCTGCAAACAGGTTAAGGCAAAACCACCAGCTTATCAAAACAGACACCACAGAAGTGTGGGCATGCGATGATGTGATTTTTAAATGAAATGCATTTGTCCAGAGGAAGATGATGGGGAGAAGAAAAACAAGGAGCATTACACATGACATATCATTTTATCCTAACACACTTCATGAAGTGAATATTATTACCACCATTTCATAAGTGAGAAAACCGAAGATCAAATAGTTTCTTCTAAAATGAGCTGTTTAGACTTGAGCCTTATTTTTCAACCTCTGAGACATTTTTCCTCTGTTAAATGGAGCCCTTCCAGAAATTTTGACATCATTCTTGATCTTTACCAAATCTTAATTTTTCTGATTCTGTCCTGATGTTTGTGTATTATTCAAAATGGGGTCTTTATGAAAGAGATGTTATGAAGACTATTTGCAGAGAAAGTCTTTTCCTAGAATATCTTAAAATATACTTTAAACTATTTTTAAATAATTAAAAATGTTATGTCTACATGCATCCTTTTCTGATATACAAATAGAGTATAATCTTTGGCTAGTATTTCAAATCCATGCATGGAATATTTTAGGAAAATGAGTTTTATTCCTTTAAACACCTTCAGATGTTCCTCCTGGCATTTTAAATAATTTTGTTTGAAAATGTATTCCTCCCTTTCTTTTTAAACAAAATGTACCAAATGATGATTTTACATGCCAGGCACTGTTCTAAAGGTTTAATATATGTTCTCTTATTTAACCCTCACAACTATTCTATGAGGTAAATACTATCATTCTCTCCATTTTCCAAATGAAAAAAATCAAAGCACGAAGATATTAAGTGACTTGCCTATGATCACACAGCTAATAAGCAGTTGAGCTAGGATTTAAATTGAAGTCTTTTGGCTCCAGAATCTGGACTCTTAAACACTGAACCATGATACATTACTGAAGAAAATGGACCATCTTCCTGAATGAATCAAGGTCATATTATGTACATCAATTTTTATTTGATATCTACAGAAGCTACGGTGGTTTAGTACAGGATTGTGTACCTGCAGTATAGGGATGTCCCTATCTTTTATACTTTTGACTTACTTTGTTTGCTTTTTATACATTTTTGTCTTCCCTCTCTGAAAAACATTTTTTCCCATATATTTACCTCTATAAATTGTCTTCTTTCCTTTAATTGTTCTGCTTCTAATTTCCTAAAAGCCAGAAACCAGATTACCACACATGTTAGAACTGTGTCTAAAATAGGAGTTATGAGGCCTTGAGAGAAGACCCAAGCCTTTCGTGAATGGACTTTGTGACATCCATGACAGGAATCTTTATTTTTTGGCCTGTTTTCTGTTCTCAACTGTGATCCAGATAGTTTAGATGACTGGATAAGTGACTTCTCAATAAGCGAGGTGTCACAAAACATAAACTCAAGGCATTTCTATTCTTCCACCTGTTCAGAAGTGTTTTAGTCACCATCATAATTGGAAGGATGGCCTAGTTCCTCAAGCTTCTGGGTAGCCATCTGATGCTTGGAAGTAGAGAGATGTGGCTACAACTAGTATAAAAATAGCCCTTCCAGATGGCTGAGGGGCAAAGTTACAACTCAGCAGCTTGATATAGCTGAGCACTCAAATTTTGGAGTAGGAGAAGAGCTGTGTGAGAAGTAGCCAGAGAGGCTGGGCTTGAGTCCAATCATAAGTAGAACAGTATATGCCAGGAGAGATCACTTAACATGGCAGATTAGCTGTTAAGGTTTTCTGTTGCTTCATCTCCATCTCCTTCCCACCTCCCTTGATTCAGCCTCACCTCTGGCCCCAAGGAACATGCACACATGCACGCATGCACACACATGTGTGCACACACACAAATGTACACACTTTTTCTTTTTTTAAAGGAGAATAAAAAAAGAGGTAAAAACCATATATCTTAAAAGGTTTTAGAATTCCAGTAGTCTAACTCCTTGTGTTAGAGATGCACAAACAGAGATAGAGAAAGGTGAGGGGATCCCTTAGGCTCAACCAGTGTTAGTGGGACTCATGCACACTGGCTTCCCAGCCAGGGCTCATCTCCCCTCTCCTCTGTGGGAGGGCGTGTGCGGTGACAACAGGCCACATTTCCTCCAGCCCTCCTTTGACTTATTTTAAGCTCTAAATGAAGCCTCTTTTTTTTTTTTTTTTTTTTAAAGTGTAGAATATTGCAAAGGCTGTGCTATTGCTACCCCCTCCAAACAAATCCCGAGGATGCAATAGATGAGTCACTGACTTGAAACCTCTTGTTTCACAAATATTTACTAACCAAATGTTTAAAATGTGTAGTTCTCACTTTTTTTTTCAAACCCAATTTCTCTGCATTTCTATTGGATTTTCTGTAAGAAAATTTAAGCCTCTGTAGTAAATCAAATGTTTTAAATATCACAATATCTGTTCAAATAATTAAGTGTTGTTTTTTTAAAAATATAGTAGTTAGGAATGGGTTAGTGCTTATGTTTGGCAGTTGTAATAGACATTTTTTAAAAACAAGCGAATTGAGAAACATTCTGCTCCCTCTTAACATCATTTATGATTAGCCCAAAGGCAAGGCATTGCTGTTCCCTGGTGGCAGTACAGCCTCATTGCAGGGAAGCTACTTAGAAGTGGAAAGGGTTTTGAGTGCCAGCCTCCCAAATCGTGTTCTCGGTTATTCAGAGACAATAAACCTACTCCATAAAATCCTCCTGTTAATCTTGCATATTCTTACATGAAGCATTTACAGGTAGCAAAACAAAAACAAAAGCAAAGCAAAAACAAATTCCCAACTTTTTCCAACACAATAGTTTGTGCTGACCAAGTGAATGTTACGATATTGTTGGAAAACAGTAGGTTACTTTTTAAGAGGAAGTTTCTTTCCTTCTTATGGCATTTATCCTCACACTGTATGGAGTGCAGGCTTTGTGCCAGGTACCTTGTGGTGCCCTGGGAACAGGTAAGGTGGTCTCAACTCTGATGTACACACACTTTTATAGCACCATGCTCTCCTACGACTGAGCTATATAACTGACTGATCGGGGAGGAGGAATAGAGCGAGGACAGGGACAAGAATGTTTTGACTGCCCACCTAGTACCTGGGCCTGTGCTAGCCTGTTGACTTGGCCAGAGCAATCCTGTTAAACGGTCAGGCTCAATCCATGAATAAGCATGCTAATTCTACATCCCCCGCGCCCTAGAATGTAGAGACCTGAGTGGAGCTGGCCTGAAGCAGAGGTCCACCTAGATAGCTGCTGCCCAAAGTAAGAATACAAATCAGGGTTGGGTGTGGTGGCTCACACCTGTAATTCTAGCACTCTGGGAGGGTGAGTCAGGAGGATTGCTTGAGCCCAGGAGTTTGAGTTTTCAGGGAGCTATGAAGATGCCACTGCACTCTAGCCAGGGTGACAGAGTGAGACTGTTTCCAAAAAAAAAAAAAAAAAAAAAAAGTTACATATTTGCTTTTGTATGAATCGAATATTACAAAATGAAGAACATTCCTTAAGTCAAGTGGGAAAAAAAAAAAAAAAAAAAAAAAGGAATGCAAGTCAGGGCATGATTTTCAATGCCTTTATTAAGAAATATCAAAAATTGCTTACAGGTCCATACACAGTTTTACAAAGTTCAAGTGAAGAAGAACGTAGGGATGCCATCACTGTGCATCTTTGAACACTATGGGAGCTTGCCACAGGGGTAACCCTACAACTCTTATCACTTTAACAGTGGTCCATTGCATTGCTTTGTCCCCATTTCCACTGGGCCATTGCACAATACCTTAAGTTACTTGAAAGAGATTTAATATGTTATACTTTTTAAGCATTTGTCCTTTTAGTCTGTCATTATCCTTCCCTGAAGAAGCTGAGCTGTTTATAGGAAGCACAACATTTGAGTCCCATTCACTGCTGTTGGTACTACATTTTCACAAAGCCTGCTTTAAAAGCTGGCAAACATCGCAAGTTACATGTTACCATAATACACATGGGAGGACCCATACACATTGTTATTTTTAAATTGAACACTAAACAAAAAAAGGAGGAATCACTTAACTTGGAAATACAACACACAGTCCGTGGAACCCTCAAGAATAGGACAAGCCTACCAGTTCCACTGAGCTCCAGTCACAAGCGGTCAACAGACCGAGAACGGTTGGATGCAGGAACACCAGCACAGAATACAGAAAGGGGTATTTTCGGGGGTGGTACACCACGATCTTTTGTGTCAGGGATATTGGGTCAGAGGGGAATTACACTTTCAAAATAATCAGGGCTAGTAGGTCATCAGTACCACATGGGAAACAGCAACGGTGTGGCGAGCCTTGGTTACGGCTTGTGCCAGTTTATCTAAGAGTAGATTTCTGAGATTGTCCAGCAACGTGAGAAAGAGTCGTCTTCAGAGGAAGGACTCCTTGTTGACCCACATCAGACTGCGCGTCTCGTTGGGCTTGCATTCGTACTCAATGACAGAGAAGGGGCTTCCCCACTGGCAGTGATCTCGCTTGTGGTAATTGTAGAACTTGACTTGCCACACAGTCTCGAAGGTCCCAATGTCAGTGAACTGAGGGAAGAGAAACACGCCCAGTGAAAACCCCGTTCTGCCATGAGCAATAGATGAGAACTAATGTTAGCGACAGAGCCCCTGATAATCCAGTATAACCAGCCAAGACTCTCTTGGCCTGCAAAGGGTAGAAGTCTTTTCTTTAGTGCTCTACCGTCCTTTATTAAGGGAGATGTTTTCCTGGAAAGCTACCTGTAAACCATTCTTCTCCATAAAAATCTTATTCCCATTGGATGAGTGGTATTTGCATATTTGCTATCATACTGCTTTTAATGAAAACAACTCCCAAGTTTATCTTGGTTTTCAAGTTTAATTTTCTAAAACCACTCTTAGGATCTCAGAATTTTATAGCTTGCTCTAAAATGGTCCCTGCCACAAAAGGGGGACTGGGAAAGAGAAGGAATGATGTTTAATAGCTGTCTTTTCACTTCTACTTTGAAAGACACTGGTACAAAATAACATATGTACAACATATCTGTATTCAATATAATTTCCCTTCTGCCATTCGCTTCAATTCCAAGGAAAAATATTTCATTCAAAGTGATAACCAAAAATATTTTGCTGGAAGTATTCGACTGTTAAAGGCCCTACCTTAACTGTCAAATATTGAGTGTTTTTAAGTCATGAATCCATGCTCATGTCTCAGGCTTAGATAATACATTATCCAAAATCATATTTGAGTATCTGCTATGGACCTTGCATATATAAAAATTTGTATAAGGCATGATTCTTGCTCTGAAGAAGTTTGCAGTCTATTTTCAGAAGGTAGGGCCTGAAAATCACTGCACAGAACTCTCCTGAGCTATAAGGATGATTCTTTCCTGTAGGCAAGGAGAAGGCACAGAATAACCTAGAGGCCACTGGGCAGATGCTCAAGTGGCCTGTGGGGTAGCCTGACCCTGCTACTGCCTTCTGGAGCTATTTAGAGGATCTGGTATTAAACAGCATGATGCCTGTCGTTATTTTCTCCTCTGACCCTCCCCTGTCATGGGAGGGGACAGGAACTGACTTGGCAGGATTCTTAGACTTGTTAGGAGCCAGAAGACATGGAGGGGAGGGCAGTGGGCAGTAGGAGTCTTATGCTTCTTGCTGATACAGGAGCAGGGTGATCAGGTGCTTCCCAGATAGCTTTCCAAGACACTTGCAAAATTATATCCTGCACGATTGCCTCATCCTGCTTATTTGATCCCAAAACAAGATCTGGGCTTTCCTATGTGAAATTTTCTTGACTTGAAACAGTGGGTAATATACCTAGAGTCTACAAACCTCCTAGGTATGAAAATGAGGTATTTCTTTTTAGGGAGTCCTGGCTTAAAGACCTATACAAGCATTCAGTAGCTTTGTTCACAATAGCCCCAGATTGGAGTCACCCCAAAAGTTTACTCATTCACCTGGTGATAGACAAGTTTTGGTGTATTTATAAAATGGCATTTTGCTAAAAAATAAACAAGGACATGCTGAATCAGGCAACAACAGAGATGGATCTCAAAAACATGCTGAACAAAAGAATCTAGACCCTAAAGAATACATATTGTATGATTTATATAAAACTCTATATTTATATAAAACTCTATATAGTGATAGAATATAATCTATACCAACAGGAAATATCTATGGTTATTTAGGGACTAGGGTGAGAAGAGGGCACTGATGCAAATGTGCAAGAGGGAACTTTTTCGGGTAATAGAAGCATTCTATATCTTGATTGGGGTGGTGGTTACATGGATGTATGCACATGTTGGTCAAAACTCATTAAACTATATGCTTAAAATGGGTGCATTGATTATGTGTAAATTATACTTTCAAGGTGATTAAGAAAAATAAAAATATCCCATTTTCAGTGAGCTATAGGAACAGGTATTCTAAACACTGCTAATGAGAATGGAACTATATAGCCTTTGGAAAGTATGATTTGCATTAAAGTTACAAGTATACTTGGGTCCAGAAATTCTACTTGTAATTTAACTTAAGAATATTCCAAAGTTTAGAGTAGTAAAAAATTGAACACTAAATGTTCATCTTTAAGACATGAATTAATTATGGGATATCATTATAATGGAATACTATGTAGTAATTCTAAATGTAGAATATTTAATACAATTTTTCTATTATTTTATATTGTTACATGAACTAAGCAGAGTACCATCAAGAATGTGTAGTATTAATCCAATTAAAAATATATTTGTTATTGTTGGAAACTCTAATGGAATACTATGTGCTCATTTGGATTTTTAAAATTTAATGATTACTTTTTATAATCAGAAAAATCATTAAATCAAAAGTGTAAGTATTTATAGATATTACCAAATAGTCAATATCCTTAACATAAAAGATTATATGAATTAGTAAAAAATACTAAGAATATTTGGATAAAAAATGGGAACAGTTCATTAAAAAGAAAAAAATGGCTAACATTTGAAAAACATTCAAATGTAATGTTATTAGTAAAGAAATAGAAACCTTTACATAGATACTATTCATATATCAACTTAGTAAAAATTTCTAAATGCCAGAAGCAATCTAAGTGTCCCACATTAGGAAAATACAAAAATGGGGGCATATGATTAACTTACATTACCATTAAAAAGGAATTTAGGGTTGTTGATGTAAGAAAATGCTTAGAACAATGTGAAAGCAAAGAGATGAATCAGAATGGTTTATATACATTATGAGCTCAAATATGTAAAATAAGATGCATACAAAAAAGGAAATGAAAAATAATATCTAAGAAATTGAATTTTCCTATCTTTCTACTCAGATTGTTCTGTAATATTTTCATAATCAAAAATTTTTAAATGGTGAAATGAAATTATCAGCTCTCAAAAATTAATACATAAACCTCTAAGCCCAAAAGATTTATAAATTATATTATTTTTATATAAATTATAATATTTATATATTAATTTATAAAATCTCTTGGGCTTGAGGTTATATTATATTAATTTATAAAATATGATGAAATTTATTAATTTAAAAATTCTAATGAAAATATTATAGCTTTTTTCACAATAGGGCAGTGGTGGTAGAATAAACTTAATTCGCTAAGGCTTTTACAGAGGGTTTAGTATTATTTTTGATCAGCACAGAGCATTGCACATTTTAAGTACAACTGAATTTTAAAATTCAATTAAAATTTGAATTTTAAATTATAATATTTTATAATAAAATATTGTATATTTTAATATATACTTTCTAATATTTTACATTTTCCAAACACCAGCTAAACTTTTGAGGGAAGCAGCCTGAAACCATGCTAAATAAGAGAAATAATGCTGCAATGCTAAGATCTTTTCTGAATAAAAGCTGGATGTGAAAAAAAAAAAGCCAACCAAGATGATTATAACCACAGGCAAGAAAAAACTTAAGGCTTATGTCTTCTGTCTGAATAAACTTAAAATTAAGAAAGTCTTAACCTAAGAGTTCTCAGTAACACAGGAGACCAAAATTAAAATCTGCTGACAGCCGCAGTCACAGCTAAAGATATGGGATGTTTAGGTGCTTGTGTTTCAGTTTTGGTTTCTCTTTTATTAATGCTGCATCCAAGCTCACATTGAAGTAAATGCAACTGCTGCTAACTATGCTTACATTTTCCTCCCCCCCATGCCTTAGTTGTTTACACTTCCCATTAGCCTTTTTCCAATTCTTTCTTTTGGAGTTCTATTTCCTGGGCCTCTTACTACCTAGCTTAGAAGTTCTCTTTTGGCTAAGAGCACATGGGATCTCAAAAGCTGACATTCTTCTTAAAGAACAGAAGCAACTACACATGCTCTCCACTCCCTCCCAGCCTAGCTGTCCCTTCTAAGGAAAATCTACCCAAGCAGGCTCCTGGATGATGCGATTAATACACAAGTATAATTCTGTATATTTTCATAGCATTCTTATTTTACATGATACTTTCACAGACATCATTCCACCTTGCTTTTGCTATCCACATTTCATGGATGAAAAAGCTAAGATTCAAAAAGGTTAAGTGACTCCAAAACCAGCTAATGATAGGAACAGGACAAGAATCTAGGGTCTCCTAATTCCTGCTAGGAGCTATTATCACTGTACCAAATTCTTTCTATAAGGAAAAGGGCAAAGAGTTAGTGAACTATTTTTCTTTTTCTCCCTAAGTGAGAAGTTACATGAATTGTCATATGAAGAATGCTTTAGGACATTGTTATATCCCCCCCCCATTCATATGTTGAAGCCTACATCCCCAATGTAATGGGTATTTAGATATGAGGCCATTAGGAAATAATTAGGTCATGAGGGTAGAGTCCTCATGAATGGGATTAGTGCCCTTATAAGAAGAGAAACCGGAGAGATGATCTATCTATCTGTTTTCTGCCATATGAAGATACAGCAAGAAAGTGGCTCTGAACCAAAGAGAGGGTCTCACAAAACACCTGATATGCTAGTGCCTTGAGTTTTAGACTTTCTAGTCTCTAGAAGTCTGAGAAATAAATGTTTACTATTTAAGTCACCCAATCTATGGTAGTATATTATAGAAGCCCCAGCTGAAACAGACACTCTGCCTGGACATTTTATTTCCCATAGTGTTTTCCCATACAAATGGCAAGCCTAGATACACTTTTATTTTACAACTAACATTGAAGAGAATACATCCGATTCTGAGGAGACTCATTTGTTGTCCTTGATAACAAATGAGGAATCTGAAGACTTTGCTTTAAACAATTTCCATGGTCTTACAACCAATTGGCATAGAATCCCCAGAGTACTTCTACCCACTGTGCTACATACTTCTCCTAGAGACATGTGAAATCCATTGACTTGGGAGCACAGAACAATCTTATTATACTGATAGAAACTTGATGTTACTTTATGAGTAAACAAATTCAGTGTAAACAAGCATCTGTGACTTTTAGTGTAGTGTGACCCATCAATTCCCACTGGATTCCAAGCCTCTATATTCCTATACTGCTTGATTTTATTAGTAAATATGTTTTCCATTTCTCTTAGCTAAATAAATAGGACTAAAAGTTCTGGGTCTTATA